GTTCCAGTTTCTCCACAACCTCGCCAGCATTTGTTGCTTGCTGTTCTGTTAAATTTTGCTATTCTGACTGGGGTGAAATTGTATCTCATAGTTGTTTTGATTTGCATCTCTCTTAGAACTAGGGCTTTTGAACATTTCTTCTTGTGCTTGTTGGCCATCTGCTTGTCTTCTGTGGCAAAGTGTCTGTTCATATCCTGTACCCATTCTTCAATTGGATTGTTTACCATTATCTTGTTGTGGTGCTCAAGTATTTTACAAATTCTAGATATACGTCCCTCTTCTGACACGTCATTACCAAATACTTTTTCCCAGTCTGTGGCTTCCCTTTCTTTTGCAATATTTGTTCTTTCTGGCTGAGACATTTCACTCAGCATAACATCCTCCACTGTCATCTATTTTGCATAATATTTCATGAGTTCTGTATTTTTCAATGTTCCATAGTATTCCATTGTGTGAATATACCAGCGCTTCTCTATCCATTCATTTGTTGATGGGCACTTGGGCTGTTTCCAGCTCTTTGGTATTGCGAACAAAGCCGCAATAAACATGGGTGTGCATATATCTGCTTGGGTGGCAGTTATGGTCTCTTTGGGGTATATTCCCAGTAGTGGAATTGCTGGGTCAAACGGTATTTCTATTTGCAACTTTTTGACAAAGCGCCATACAGCCTTCCATAGTGGTTGCACCATTTTACACTCCCAACAACAGTGAATAAGGGTTCCAGTTTTTCCACAATCTCGCCAGCATTTGATATTTGCTGTTCTGTTACATTTTGCTATTCTTACTGAGCTGAGATAATATCTCATAGTTGTTTTCCCTTTCTCTTCTTTAATTCTTCCAGCAGCTTGCATTTGTTCAATTCTTTTAGCTAGAGAAATACCAAGCCTGTTCTTCCTTTTTGGTTTTCTAACACCAGCTCCTCACACATTTCACTATAATATTTTGCTTTGTCTTCTTGAGCTGCTCTTTGAAGACTTCTGTTCCGCTCTCTTACCTCAGTACTCCCCCAATCACTATCTGTTGGTTGGCAACCTGCAGCGACACCCTGATGGGAGTAAGCACAACCGAGATACACCACTCCAGGAAAGGATCATAGTGTCAATCCAGCCCATTTTATTGGGACTGCACTACACTTATATACACAGGAACACAGGATAGGGTGGGCTTATAGACGTGGGACATGTGGACTGGTTAGGAGAACCTCAGCCTCCTGCGGACCATTCCCTTCTGGACATGGCAGCCGTCTTCCCAGGTGGCGAGCGTTCTCAAGCCAGTACAGTCAAAGACAGGGGAAGTTCTACCCCATATTAAAGGCCTTTGGGAGGCTTGCACTTATCTGGACCTTAGGTGATCTGTCCTGGCCAGAGGCCGTTCTTTCCTCCCAACATTCTGCAACATATCCTCCCTTTTTCTTTTAAATGAGCCTAAAGAGGGGGAAGTCTCTGGTGTAGAGCCTCCAGTGTTTCTATGACTGCAAGGGTAGAAAGTTTATTCAGTGCAGCTGCTCGGGCATTCTGTCTTGTGAAGAGGTCTGCGGCTGCTCTTATAATGGCAACTGGGGGGATAATAAAAAAGGTTAAAATTGCCATACCTTGATTTCCAGCTTGGATTGGGGGATGAATATAGGAGAGTGAGGATAGCCATGTACATATGGGAAATGTGGATGAAGAAACAAAAGCTTACAAAACCTGATTAGCTTCTCCTCCTGTGACACTATTTCCTGTGAGGAAAAGATAGGAAATCTCTTCCCATGCGATTTACGGCCTCTAAAACCTACTGGAGAGTCAGCTATGAGTCACTTCAGACGTAATAGTAATGAGTTGAGTTGAGCTGATTATGAATTGGTTCCTTCTTGACAACCATGAACTTTGAGGTTATAAGCACAAAAGAATTCCAAAAATACTATTTATAAAAAATGAATGAATCTAGAGGACATTATGCTGACAGAAGTAAGTCTGCCACAAAAGGACAAATATAGGATAAAAATAATCATTATTAAGCTAATGACATTTTATACACAGATGGAGTCATTCTTGGATGGTTACCAAAAAGGAAAGAAAGGAGGAAAGAGTAAAAGGAGTAAGTAGAAAATAGTTCCATATGAAGTCAGATGAAATAGAAAGTAATACACAATGAGTGGATGATTAGCACAATCTCACTTAGGAAAGGAAAACACACACAACTATAGATAATCAATTTAAGGGAGGAAATGAGTGAGAAAAGTCTCTCACAACGTGGTTATTAAAAATTACACTATACAACAAAATGTGTATGTATGGTTGAGTGAAAATCTAATTTGTATGGTAACCTTTTTAGAGAGTTCTGCCTACGTAGTTCATAGAGTGCTGCACTTGCCAGCCAAAGGCAAAGCCTCTCTAGTGGTGCAAAGCCACGAGCAAATCCAAGGCTGAGAAATCGGTAATCTCTTCCCATGAGACTTAGACCTATGCAAAGTCAGCTATGACTCAGTTGTGACTTGACAAGAATCCATTGGACCTTTTAGTTTACTCTCTGCCTCAAATAACAACCAAAAAAAAATTAAAAAGACAAATCATTAATAAAATATATGTATTTTGGCAATGAAACAAGAAATTAGAAGACCTTAAAAACATGCATTCTTATTAAATCATAATTTGGCCATGTGTAGACACAATCAGACTAACTGAACAACTGTTCTCTCAACAGCCATGAACACAGAACAGTCACACCAGGATGAACACCTGCTCCAAGGCAAAAAAAGGCAAGATCTCAAAGAAATGCTAAAAGAAATGGGTCTTGATACTGAGTATTGGCTGGCACAACTTCAGAATGAACTGGGTGTGAGCTCTGCCCAAGCATTACAACACCTGGAAGAAAAAGACCTCCTGAAGCTGAAGGCCCAGACACGACATTGTTGGGAAATAAAGGCCCTGGAAACACTGCTTACTCTGTCTCACTCAAATAGCCTGTCAACATTACAGGAGTCTCAGCAGGTACACCACAAACTGCAGGAGCAGAAGGACTTGAAGTCAGAAAGGAAACAGAGACAGGAAGCGGCAGTGAAGACAAAAGAAGCAGAGCCTGGGCTAGCAGTGGAGACCCCAAAAGAGCATGGGCTAACCCCTGTGAAGCCAGTAAGTGAAGTCAAGGAAAATATGCAAAGAGAACTCAAATTCAAGGAGGGAACAGTATCCCACAGCAAAAAATTCTCAGATGGGAATCTAGTGAGATGGGCATCTGGAGGTCTGGCCTTACAGGGAATCTACAAAACCAGGCACCAGAGAGATCTGATAGAGAAGAGAGAGGAGCTACTCAGTGTCCCCAAAGCTTTCAAATGCTTTGGTCCTGAACATGGCACTCGGATGGAGACAGAGGAGTTCTCATCATCTCAGGCAGAATCTATATTCACTCAGACTATACAGAAGTTGGGCTTCAGTTTAACAGGCTCAGTCAAGGCAGAAGGGTGGGGATTCAACATGGAGGCAGGTAGGAATCACAGTCAACAAGCCGAATCACGGGAGCATCAAAAGTCACATACTCAACACTCTTATTTCTGCACAACTAAGTTCTGTTATGTCCCACTAGCCTCTTGCCACTTTCCTATCGACAAACTTAAGTTTTCCAAAGCTGCACTACAGGAACTGAAATGCATTGAAGACCTTCTAGGGCAATGTGAAGGCACAGACGCCCTCCCTCTGCTTAGGAACAGGACAGAGGCCTTCTTCCACAGGTTTGGCTCTCATGCTAACAAGGGCCCTCTTCACCTGGGTGGAATCTACTGGTGGAAGGCTGTTTCAGAAGGTTTCCAAAGGGAACAACTGGAGGAAGTGAAGAAGCAGTCAGCAGAGGCCCTGAATTTTTTCATAAAAGGGAGTTACAGTGGCTTCGGAGTGAATACTGGGGCAAGTGTAAATATTTCAAGTGCTAATTCAAAAATATTTTCTGAAAGCATTACCTTCCAAAATACCCAAAACAAAGTCCAGCTGTCTGTGGCGTATACAGGTGGCCCACCAGAAGCAGATAGTCTTGACCAGTGGAAAGCTGGGCTCAGTGCCAATAATCAAACCTGGTGTGTCATTGATCGGGGACTCCAACTGGTGCCAATTTGGGACATCATCTTCTCCAG